CGTTTCACCTCCACCTGAACAAACAGAGGCCGCGCTCAGCTCAGCTCAGCGGGGCTGCGGCGGCCCCGCGCCCCCCGGCCCCGCACACACACCCGCAGGTAACACTTAAGACTACACTTAGCATCTTATGACTTATGTCTAAGTACTTAATTATTAAAAACTTAAGGCCAAGTAATTTACAATGTTTCTCAGGTACCAGTGTAGGTGATGGTAAGGAATTACAAGTCCTACTGTTGAGGGATTCCGAGAAAAGCATCCTACAAATCGCTTCGGTCTCGTTGGCTTGAATCTTAAAACAGCAGTACCCTCTTACAGCAGCTCTGCACTTAAAACAGCAGAATCTTGGACATTAATGACAGGCTGATTTCATGTTCAAGGCAGGAGATAAGAAGATGATGTTTTCAGTTAAAAAACCAGAATTTTGAGTGAAGAGGCTGCTCTGAAAAAGGGTACTAATGCTTTAACCAAACATGTTTGGGGTCCATTTGGAAGTGACAGTTTAACCCACCCCAACTAACTGCAATTTCAGCTCTGCTCATACCTGAGAAACACACATTTTTTGAGATTTTTTTTTTGTATTGTTGTATTTTTTTTTTAAACTTAAGATTTTATTTAAATGTCTAATGGAAGATAAAGACTTACCTTCCCCAGGCTAACGCTTAAAGAATCTCAGTTAACTCAAACAATGTCAGAGGGAATGGATGTGATAAGAGAATCTTACATTACATCTAACAAAAAAGTAAACAAACATGCAAGTAATAAAAATGGACAGTTGAGTCAATAAGAAGCAATCTTCATACTGTGTTAAGTCAGTGACAAAACCCCTCCTGTTTTAAAAAACTCAGTAACCACAGTGCTTAACTTATTTCATTCCAAGATAAAATGTCCTAGTGTTCCCAGCCATGGAATAAGTGCATTTGACCTACTTAAAATAAGCTGCACATTCAACATAAACCTCTCAAAAAAAAAAAAAAAAAATCCAGTTCTGATTTAATGAAACCCTCTCAGCACTCGCTGAATTTGAGGCTTTTTTTTTTTTCCATGATTAATTTTAATGGGTGCCAGAGTACAAAGAAAATAAATCTCAATCATCAATGGGCTTGAGTAGTATGGAAAATAAAGTATTCAGAATTCTTCCTGCCATGTCTTAAAAGCCATTCATGTTGGAGAACAAACAGGAAACAGGCACAAGGCAAGGACAAAGCCCCCCACACCCCCCCTGCCAATGCCCCAAGGACATGAGACATGACAGTAACCAAATCTCTGTCAGCTCAAGGCCCTTCCAGAGAGGAACCAAGGGAATTTTTCAAAGGACTCAAATTAATGAGTCTTAACACATTTGCCTTGAGGGAATTCGGTTATTGCTTACAAAAGCAGAGGCCTTCTTGCAATTTTAATTTTTTCCCTCTCCTTTCAACAACATATGGATTCATTTCAGCAATACCTTTTTAATTACCAAAAAAAGACAGAGATACCATTTTTAAAGCAGGCATGATTAGGCAGTGAAGGAGAGAGCAGGGGATCTGGAGCTCATTAATCCTTGTGGAAGAATCCCATTAATTTTTCAGTGCACACTTGGAAGCAGGGAACTGCCAAAGTGAGCACTGAAAATTCCCTGTGCAATCAGGAGGTTCAAATTCCACACCTGCCTAGAGCCCAGCTTACCCCAAGAACTGAGGCAACTCTATTAATCTGAGCTAAAAATCCCTGAATCTGATTTTTTTTTTTGTCACTGAAAGGGGGGGGGGGAAGGGAAAAAAAATCAATTATTTCAGTTTGGAATTGGGTTTGTTTGGGGAGCACAGAGAACTCCCAGTGCCAGTGCTGTGTCAGCAGCAAAGCAATGAGGGGACATCCAGGCTCACCCTGGGCTCTCCATCCTCTCCCAGCACTTTGTGGGTGTTTATCCTCTGTTCCCAGCTGGATCTGCTGCTTTGTGGGATCAGCTCCCACTTTAGGGTTTTGCTGAAGGCAATTCCAAGGGCAGATCAGGGAATATTGGGATATACAGGTGATCCTTACAGAGCCCTGTGTGATTTATTACACCTGGGGATGTCACAACAGGAACAAGAACTGATGGTCTGGATCCCACAAGTACATTCTTTGTTCCCATTATGAGGAAACCAGCCAGTCCTGCACCCCAAATCAGGTTCACAGGAATTAAAGGCATTATTGCACTGCAAAATGAACCAGAACTCCACTGACATGCAGAGTGTGGCCCTTGCTAGCTAAGGAAAGGCTTATGAAATATCAGCACATAAAAGATTTTAAAGACAATTAAAAACTCACACAATGTACATAATTTAAGGAATGTGAGAATCTTCTGTGTCTCCCTGAACCCCTTCACTTCAAGTTTAGCAGCTTTAACATTTTGTTTAAAATCTGAATATACCTTAAAGCTGTGCAAGGATTTAAATTTACCAGAATTTCCTGTGGTTCATTTTTCTTTAAATTACTCCTTTAAAACTTGGGTGTCCTGCAATCCTGCAACAATTTATTTTGCTTTTAGGTTTGGGTTTGTTTTTTTTTTTTCTTCCACAGGTAAAAGTTATGTTCCTTGCTGAGTAACATCAAAGGAGCCTAAAAAATTCCTGCCTATCCAAGCCCCATTTGCTGACAACACAGTATGAAGATGAAACAACCAGAGGTCACTTAACTGCATTGTGGTTAAATACTATATAGAGTACGTGGGTTGGTATCAAAGTTTCACAGTAAGTGACCCAATTTTTTAAAAAACCAATCCTTCAGGATGTTTTTTTTTTCCTCCCTTTTTCTTTTCAAGTTTAAGATGATATAAAGCAGATTGTCTGACACCACCTCAAGATTTGAGTATCAAGTACACATCTGAAGGAGTGGTATCTTAAACCAAGCCTTGAAGAACTCAGATTTCACTGGGATTCTGCTTTTCCAACAGCTGGAAATCACTGATTTGTCTCCTGCTCAAAGCAGAGGCACTGAGCACCAGTTCACCCCAGAGATGATGATCCCAGCTCATCTGCTCAGCCAGAGCAGCCCCCAGGTCTGTACACACAAGGCCTCACCCCAAGCAGAGCCCACAGCCTGAATCCTCAGGATTCCATCCCTCCCTCCCTCCCCCAGGCTGCCCCATCCTCACTGCCCTTCTCCACAAACTCAGACTTTCCCCACCTCCATGGATAAAGCCTTGAATTTGGACTGCTGTGCTCTCCCATCAACAAATTCAGTTGGATTCCCCAGTGAAATCGCTCGTTGTCCAAGACTTGGTTCTTTCTTAAGGTAAAATAAAACTACAACTACACACTTTTTTGCCCATGATGTCGTGAAAATGCATGTTGACAGCCTGGTCCACTGATTGTTCGTCCTCGAAAGTAATAAATCCAAAACCTAGCCAACGACGAAGAGTGAATCAAGGTAGCAGGGTGTTGTGACACAAAACAGGATGATGAACAGTATTAGGGGCAGACCAAGGGTTCAAGCAGGGGTTTCAGATAACGACACTTGTGTTCAATTGGCAAAAACTCTGAGGAAATTGCAATGGATACTTCCTGTGAAGAGGCTTTAGTGCCTCGTCTCGATTGCGCGCATGCAGCTTCGAACTGAGCTCGTTAACCGGCTTTTAATTTGATTTTATTCCTCATCCACCTACCAGGAAATGGAAAAAAACTGCTAAAATCAAAATATTTGTGGGACAGCAGATTTGAAGTCAAGCAACTTTGCTGCTCCTCCCTTTGATTCAGCCTAATTTCCCAAGGAAAACCTATCCTATATCCCTGTTCCCCAAAGCTGCAAAGCAACTTCCTCCCAATCCCTTAGCCCAGCTTCCAGTTAGGGAAATATTTTCCATAGAAAAAGAAAGTTAGTTTTGAAATGTAGCTGTTAAAGCATGAGAAATTTTACCACTCCATGGATGAATGAGAAGCTTCAGAAACTAACAACCTACATCAGAGGTTCTCAAGTTTCCCACACCTTGGAGAAAAAGCACAGAACAGGTGTTACACCTTCCCAACAAGGCAGCTCCCCTGTGAGGTGTCGCTGCCACGTCCTGAATCGTTGATTTCCATTTGAAAAATCCACACAACTTCCCAATGGGCGGCTCATTCCCTGGATTCAGCAGCTTTTAAATGCTTGGAGAGAAAACTCTGGGAAAGGAGGCAAAGCTCCCCCTTTTTTGGAGGTCACTCTGAGAACCACTGCAGTAGGTTGTAGCTGCTGACACAGCCGAGAGAGTGGCAAAATAGAGGTTAAACCCCCAGGAGAAGGCGGCTGCTTCATGCCATCACCCACTGGCTGCTGGTGGGGACAACCCAGGGCAGGGAGGGACACATGCAGTACAGGAATTGTGCCATTCTTTGGATTAGCTACAGAGAAGGGGGGGAAAAGGGGGGAGAGCAATAAAAATTCGAAAAAGAAACCCGAGGTGCGGCGTGGGAAGCGTTTATGGAACATGGATGCGGTTCTGCTTTTCTGAAACCCAAGATTTCCCCCTTGGTTTGCGTTTTTGCTTTGCAGCTAGTGCTGACAGCAGCCAAATCTTGCTCTAAAGCGTTACAGAATACAGATCTAGCACAGGAATGTCTCTCCACGCTTATCCAACTGTGTTGGGTAAGCCCAAAGAGGCCTAGTGTAGAGAAAGTTTATATATATATATATATATAAAAATACACAAAGATACAGGCCAAAATAGATTCCAGCAGGTCAAATTCTGCTGTCAGCAACAAGAGCAAAAGACATCACTAAAATAAACTGAAAATAAAAAGGAAAAAACTTGGCATTTCCCACACACAAGAGACTGGCAGTATAAACGAAGTTTTGTGCAGCTGTGATGAAAGCAGCCTCGAAGCTGAGAGCAGCATTTCATCACAATATATTTGTCTGAGTTAACCAGAAATCCGAGTGTTGGAGCCAAAGGAAAAGTGTTTGTATTTAAATCATGTTTAGTATTCCAGCCTTTGTCTAAAAAGAGATGGGGAGGAAAAACAATGGATTCCATCTGGATGTGAAGGTTGTTGTTAAATTTGATTTCAAAGCTAAAGGAGGGGAATAGATTGTGGGATGGGGTTGGAGGGGTGGAACAGGGAGGGCAAGAGGTCATTGAGAAAAGCAATAAATAAATTCTAAAAAGGGGATTTGAAAGGGTCAGACAGCACAAGATAAAGAAGAGCACAGAAATCAAAGTAACACAACAAAACTCCAAGGTGCAGCTTTAAGCAGGAGTGATGAAATTCACCACCTGCAGCTTTAGGTTTTGAAGGTCAGCACTCTGTTGAAGGCTGGAGAAATGAACTGCACCCAGCAGGAATCCAAGAGGAGCAGAGCAGAGTGACAGAGCTGCTCTGCAGCCAAGAGAGGAGGAGAACAGACAGAGCAAGAGCCTGGAAACCCCTTCCCATCTGTTGGAACCAGGAGAAGCTGAGAGTGCACCAAAGCCCCTTGGTTCCTTCAGAGATGTGCCAGGGCTGCTGTGCTTGGGGCTGTGCAAGAGTTTGGATGAGGCAGAGCTGGCAGGAGCAGGCAGGACTGGGAGGAAGCAAAGATCCTGTGGATACCTGACCCCAGTGAGCTCCTCAAGGACATCACCTGAGAGTTTGGTGCCTCCTGAGGAGCTGGAGGTAAATGGATGCTGCAGGGATTAGAACAGGGATCATGTTCCCTTCTCCTACCAGTACTGTGCACTCCCACAGGAAGGGTGGTAAATGAATGGGAAAGGGCAAAATTCATAAGGGTCTAAGGAGAGATGGCATTGAATTGGCCTCTGGAATTTTATTTACAGTCATTAGAAGGATAAGGGGACAGAACAGCAAGAGAACACAGAGAGAAGGCAAGAGAAAATGTGTGCTGGGATGCACAACCAGGAGTACCCAGTGCAAACTCGAGGAATTTTTCCTGGCACCCCCAGGGACTGCCAGGGCCATTCTGGGAGATGTGTTAGTCAGCACACTAAAAAAAGCCTGGAACAGCACAGAAACAAAAGGCAGAGAGAGAGAGAGGATTCAAGAAGTGCTTAAGAAGTCTGATGAATTAGGGGAGGAAGTTTTTTGTGGGGGGAGACAAGACCTTTCCCCCACCTGGCACTTGTGCTTTGCACCCCAAGCCCTCCTTTGCCTGTGCTGTTTTTAGTAGAGCTTGAAGCAGAGAAGCCATTAATTGAGACAGGATTAATCCAGACCAGGCATGATGTTTAAGTACCTTTTGCACAGAGGCTGCAAGGCTGGGATTAAATATTGCAAAGATAGAGATGATACAATAATTACTGAAATATTTTAAAACTTCAGCCCCAAATTCCATTTGAATGCCAGTGCCTTTGTCTCCTCTATCCAAAACCAGCTGCTCTAAAGCATTGAAACAGATGAATTTATGTGCTGCTTAAATCAAAGGGATCTGCTGGAAGAAGATTAGGATAGCTAAAGCAAGAAAACAAAAAAACAAATATATTGAAACTTCGTTTACACTCCAATAAAAGACAAAGCCCGTCCCTCCTCTGACTGCGGAACTGGCCTGTACCTCTGTGATAAATTATCACCTAGAGAGAAGAAATCTAAAGAGATATCGTTAATCACAGTCAAACAATTCACAGAGAGAAAAGAAACAAAAAAAAGAACTTACTTAACGTTACCATACTTTACTATGAAACACTTAAATATGTCACTAAGGATGTATGTCTAAATTAAAAATAAAACTAAGACTTAACAGCTTAATAAATATGAAGTGAAGGATATATTTCTTAATAATGAGGCAGAAGAGAAGTGAAAAGTTCAGATGGCAAACTATTCTCTAGCATGTTCAACATGCTACAGGGTGGGAGCACAGCTAAGCTTCATGTGCCAAAATATTGCCTCTTCCTTGGCAAACAAACGGTGGATGCAAAGGGTGACATGGAATTGCTTCATATTTTGACCAAAGGTTCCCAGCTTGATTCAATATCTAATGAATATTTCAGATTTTTGGGGTTTTTTATTCTCCTCCCCTCTTAAAAAGCAATCTGGTATACAGGGATTGTATACCCCAATTAAAAATATACATATATATATATATATTTCAGAATTATTTTGTGTTGTTTCAGAAGAGTTTTTTTCTTGAATTTGAGGTGAAGCCATTTAACCAAAACAAAAAGCAGGTGATGGATGGATTCTGTCCTGTCTCGTGCTCTGGCTGGAGCACCCCACATGCACTTACAGACCCAACGTACCTTTCATGTGGAGCAGGAGGAAAATCTGATTTTTTCCCCCCCTCAAAAGTACCTTAAGCTACAGGAGTAGCTTGAGAATCAAATTTCATTCAACTATAAAAAAAACCCCAACCCATCAATGAGCATGAAACATCTGAGTTGAAATGCACAGACCCAAGTGAAGCTGGAGATGAAGAGTCTAGACTTGAAGTGATGTTTGCCCAGTGAATTATTCTTTTTCCTGAGGCAACATAGGAGGAAAAAAAAAAAAAAAAATCTACCTTTTCTGATGGTGTGAAATAGTTTGCCATCTGACTATAGGAGAGTATGAAGAAATTTCAAGGACAAACTAGATCAGCCTTTACCTCGGGGCCTCTGTTTCTCTGCGTCATAGATCATTACAACTTCAGTGACCTGGAAGAGAGAAGGGAAATTCTACTCCCTGTGCTCCAAGGGGAGGGCTGCAACAGCCACCACCAGCTGGTTCCTGCTCTCTACCCACAAAGCACAAGCCAAGTGCAGCCATCATCCCAGCAACAGCACAAAAATAGGGAATGTTGCTCTTCCTGGGAGTTTAGAAAGCCTGAGCTCATCTATTGTCTCATCACACTTGACATTTTAATTTAACGTTGAGCTTTGGCACTATTTGTACCCACTCTATGGCCTATTGCACACCCCAAAGGTTTGTTTTCCAACAACTCATCAGTGTAGCTTTTTAAAACATGATTTTTCCCATTTTTAACCATTTTCACTTTTGTCATGAAAAGCAGCTTGAGCTGCAGGCACCTCCAGGAACATGCAGGGCTCCTCTGATTGAATTACTGGAGCACCAGTTAAACCAATGCTTTAAACAGCTTTACAAAACCCCTCTAAGTTCTGGATGAGCAGTATCAGTGTGATTTTAACCTAAAAAAAGAAAAAATGGAAATTGCAAGCTGTTCAAAAGCTTCAGGATTATTCTTCTCAGAATGAGCACCACAGTGAGCTACAATTTAAACAAAACCTGAGGTGGAATGTTGATGTCAACATTAAAACAGCTGAAGGGAACTGCTCTGAAATCTCTCAGATGCAGAGAAGTGGTCACAAAATGGGTGTGATTTTGTAAAATTGCATCTTCAAAAACAATCTCAGGATATTTTTTACTCATGAGTAAAAATGAGTTTAAAGTCTGACACAATTTTACAGCTAGAAAACATTTGGGTTTGAGTTGCTGCACTCACTTGAGCACATCCTATTGAGGGATGCAGGTGGGGATAATGCCCTCAGTCAGTGCCACATTTGTCCCTCCCCTGCTCCATTTGGGTCTCTTCACCCTGCCCTCAGTGACCCAGCAATTACCAGGGCTGAAAAATCAGTGCCTGCCTTGGGCTCTTCACTCTCGTGGCCACAAAACCTTTGTGAGACTCCACTGCTCCAAAGGGACTGGTTACAACTCCAGGAAGATTTTCTGATTTCTATACTATGAGTAAAGGGCTACTACTTACTTTTAAGGGCACTTACAGTTGTGGCTGTTGCCTTCTACACCTGCAGGACATACCCTGTATCTCCCCAGCATCCAGGGCACAGCTGGAAAGCCAAGTCTGTGAGGAAGAGCCTTTTGAAACTACATCCCACAGCTGTGGAACGTGCTCCCTGTTTTTATTATTAGTCTACTGCAGCCTTTCAAGCTAAAGAAACAGTTGTTAGCTATTGTATTTTGTGTTTTTAAATGAATTATAGTAATGGAATTTTAAATACTGATTTAAACTTGATAAACTTAAATTGTTTCTCAATAAATCCTTTGCTGCCACTAAGAAATGTCAGAAAGAGGTTTTGAAAAAAGTATCAAAAACTACACTAAATGCTAATTAAGTTCATTTTTACCAGCACAGTCCTGAATTTAACTCACACAATCTTTAACGTCCTCAAACTTATTCACAGCTGAATTATTTAATTCAGCAGTTTATCATATGCCCCCACTTCCTTGAGGGCAGTGAGAGCTGGGATAAATGGGAATTAAAACTAAATAAAAACTAAATTTAAAAAATAGAGAAGATACAGTCATTTCAGTCCAAGGTTACAAACTGAATTAAAGAAGGTGCATGAGGAGCAGTTTGTCTCAGAATGGAGGTTCTAGGGACATCAGAACTGAGATTCCAGATGGTCTGAAAGCAGCTGCTGCTCCCCAAACAATGGCAGGAGACCCAAATTTAACTTGTCTGTACACACAGTCAAATACCAGGATGTTAAAATCCAGCTCATTGAGAGACTCACTGTTCCCAAAAAATAATCAGCAGACATTTTTAATTGCCCAGCTGAAAGCTATCAAGAGAAAGGGGATTGGGGGTGGAAACAATAATAATAAAAAGAATCATTCTTAAGGCACCTCAGGAGTTTTTGGAAGAAGGGACAGAATAATGCATCAGGGTAGACTTAAACATGAGAAGACAGAAGCAGCAAAGTGAATTCCACATGAGCAGCAGGTTCTGCCAAGGGACATTTCCAGATGATGAATGTTCACTACAGTTCCTCACAAAATGCTTCAGCAATTTGTCCAAATTCCCCCCAAATTTGAGAGCTTGAGGAAAAGTGAGAGGAGGCAGCAGGGAGGGGAGGCACCTTCCCCCCAGGACTCACCACTCCGAACTTCTTGAAGTATTCCCTGAGCTCTGTCTCGCCACAGTTATGAGGAATCCCACCAACAAAAATTTTATTGGATTTATTGTTATCGCTCCTGGATCCTTTCTGCTAAATCAAGGAGGAGAAAATTCAGTCAGAAGAATAATAAGGGTGGCTGCTTCTATCATTTGACACTGAACCATGAACAATGGGCTCTGGCAGGCTGAGGGGAGAGCTCCAGCCTTGGAATCTCCCAGGCATGAAAGGGAAGCACATTCTGAGCTCAGGGGTTCAGTGTCCCCTGTTCTTCAGAGGACCAGGAATCCTGGGCCTGAGTTCTGAGGCCTTTGGCTCATTCTAAACTGAAATCTGGTGAAGCTGCAGGGTGTGGAGTGGGCTGGAACAGCATCAGCCCTGCCAATGCTCTCAAATGTGAACAACTCCACTAAAAGCATCACTAAGAGCTTAGGAAACACCACACCCAGAGCGACACTGCTCTGCACAGAGCCTGCCCATGGAAATCTGAACTAAAGACTTTTTAGAAATGAGATTTTCACTTGAGTTCTGCCTTTAAAACATGGATATAACCCAAAGGAACTCCAGAGGTACACAGGGATCTCTCCTTACCCATCCTTCCTTCGGCCGTGTCCGCTCCGGCTGCATCCCCCGAGGTGTGCATGGCTTTGGATCAATCTGGAAGAAGTTCCACTTTGGTCAGACTTCAACAGAATTTTACTCTAAAATTTACATTTGTGGCAGCTGAACCCGGCCCTGCTGACATGCAGCTCCTCAGAGCTCAAACAACACAAGCCATGGAGTTAAGAGCTGCCTTACAATAAATCATTTAAATCAACACCCAGCTTAACTCTGACACTCTACAAATAAGGAGCCAGAATTTAAAGGAAATATTTGAATCTGGTGCAAGAAATAAAAATAAAATAAAATCAACTTACATTTCGGCCATCTAACGTATGAGGTCTGCTGGCCAGCACTGTTCCCACACAGTTGGGATCTTTAAATTTGACAAATCCAAATCCTCGAGATTGATTTGTTGTTTTGTCTTTCATTATTACACAGTCTACAACTTCTCCATACTGGGAGAAGTAGCTACGAAGAGTTTCTGTCAAAGAAAAAAAAAGCAAGCATTAAACAGAGCCAGATATTAACAACACCAGACTGTGTTTGCAATGATGAGACAACAGATCAGCAAACATGGAACACAGCTTCAAACTCATCTTTTCAAAATGATCACATCTTACTTCCTGTAAACAAATGGCAGACAACAGTTTATTTCCACTCATCCAAATGGAAAACAGCAGGGAAGTGATTATAAAAAGGACTGTCTGTTGGGCTGACAAAAAGTTCAGCATCAAAGAACATAAACCTAGAAGTATTAATATATTTTTTTAAAAAAATATATATATATATCTGAGTTGTCTCTAGAGAAAGTTTTCTTAATTAGCAAGGAGGAGGCTCTCAGTGCAATCTCCCCCCACAGCAATGCCTGTGAAGAGCTCCAGGCTGGGTTTTCACCGTGGCCCAATGCCTGCAGCACGCATTGCTCACCTTGTGTCGTGCTCCAGTCCAGGCCACCCACGAACAGCTTTCTGCAAACAAAGCACAGGGCAGCTTTAGGGGCTACAGCACATGTTCCATCTGATTTAAGGCACAGCTCAGCTCTTCTGAGGTTTGGGGGTACCAGGACTCCAACATGCCCTGCAAAGCTGGCACCATACTCAAACCGAACCCTTCCTCCACCCCTGCTCTCTGCTCCTCCCTCCCTCCCTCACCACAGAACTCTCACTTGGCTGCCAGCACCTTGAAAGCAAAAGCAGAACTGCCAGGCTGAGGCCTGAGCCAGAAGTCAAACCTGTGCAGCAGGTATTAATAACAGAGCAGCACTAATCCAGCAGTTGTGAAACCACTGCACAGCCCAGTTTCGAGATAGTGATGAGCAGGTGAGAAAGCCATGGCTAAACCCCAAACTAAACTGCTCAACACTGATTCAACTCTTTCTCTGCAAAAAGCACCCAAATCTGCAGGGTTTCCTGTCCCAGCATGCCCAAGGACCTGGGTAGGTGCTGCAGGAGATCCGTGCCAGGCTGGAGCTCTGCAGCTCTTTATCAACTCCTGGGTGTGCCAAAACTTCCAGCAGTCATTTAATCAGTAATTAAAGGTTGGTTAGAGCTGCCTCAACACTTGGCCCTTGTCAGTACCAAGAATCAACCCCAGGAACACCCTCAGAGCTGTGTGCAGCTTCCTCCTGAGGAGCAGCATCCACCTCTGCTCTCTGGGAGCAGGGGCAGGACCCAGGGAACGCTGGAGCTGTGTCAGGGAGGTTCATGCTGGGTATCAGGAAAGGTTCCTCCCCAGACAGTGCTGGGCACTGCCCAGGCTCCCCAGGGAATGGGCACAGCCCCAAAGTGTCAGAGCTCCAGGAGTGTTTGGACATTGCTCTCAGGGGTGTCTGTGCAGGGCTCTGATGATCCCTGGGCTTCCCTTCCAGGAGATTGTATGATTCTGTGAAAAACTCTGCTGTTAATGGCTCCATGGCTCTGCACAGACAAGCACTGGGATACTTTATTTTTGGGGGATGCCCTCTGGTTCTCCAGCACACCTCAAAGAGAAAAAACCACATCCTTGCTTTGTCTTCTTCTCACCATCACCTACACCCGAGTACAGCTGAGGGTGGTGGGGATTCCTGCATCCTCACTTACATGGGCAAAGTTGGATTTCTCCTAACAAAAAGAAAATACTGAACTTCTGCTCTTTTCAGGAGCAGGTAATGGCAGAGAGCCCAGTCACCCCCAGTGAGAGCTGCAGGTGCACTGGGAAGTGAAAGCCTTGCACCTGGGAGTTCCTGTGGAGCAGGGCAGCTCACTGACAAAACCAGCCTGTCCCTTTCCCCTTTGATTCCCTTCTCTGTGACAGGACATTGTGTCACAACCCCTCTGCACCAGCCAAAGCGACAAAATTCAACACTCACAGCACCTACCAGCCTTGTTCCACTGAGGCAAATTCTGTGCTAAGTCACAGGCCGAGACGTGACACGAGTCTTGTCTTTCACCAAAACAGAGCAACTGTTAAGCACTGATCAAAGCATCTCCTTGAGCAGCCAGCAAACAACTGAGCTGGTGACATGTGAGGCACAGACAGCCCTCAGTGTCACTGCTGTGTTATCATCATGCTAAAGGACGTGCCAGCCCTCCCTGGGAGCAGCAGGCAGGCCCTGCACCCTGCCCTGGGTTATGCCCTGCCCTCTCAGAGCAGGCCTGTGCTCTGTGGGCATGCTGGGCATGACAAAGTTTCCCTCAAGGATTGGAAAAGCGCCCCCAGCTCCCTCTGGCAGAGCTCTGCTCCTGGCACGGGCTCAGGGCCTTGTGCAACAGCAGCCAGCTCACAGCAACAGGTCCAGGCTTGGCCAAGGTGGCCCCACCATCATCCCCTGACCACCTTCCCTCCCCACACACAGGGCACAAACCTCTCTGCTGTGCTGTTGTTTTTAAGGAAAATAAGTAACTCTAATTTCCTAATAACAAAGTAAAACCAGCTGATCTACTGCTATATTCACAATAACATTTTGATATGTGTTAGTGACATTTTCTTTGAGGTTTTGGTTTGTTTTGGGGTGTTTTTAACTAAATTTGATAGCTTGGTATAAAAGATTAATCGATTTTACATCCTTGTAAAAGTACCAGCTGCGTTCTGAGAGAACACCAAGCTGTCTGCAGGGAGGGAGGTCACTGAAACCTTCCAATTCCACCATGAATTATTTGTAGTCACCCTACATGGACTGAAAGAGCAAAGCTGGGGTAGCTCAAGGCCAGCTGCAGCAGCTGTATGGAAATCCACAGCCCCAGTTTATACACATCCTGTGGAACACCAAAAGCCAGGAATCCTCTGCCTTGGGTTTGAAGACACTGAGCAGGGCCAAAGTTCATAAAAATCCAGATGTGGTGTGGTACAGGACAGCTGTGAGGCAGGATGGGGGTGTGAGTGCTCCCCATGCTCAAAACTTTTGGTCCTAACAGCTCATGGGCTGGCAGCTATTCAATTCATAGAAATGTACAAAATTGATAAAATATCCTGAGCTGGAAGGGATCCATGAGCACTGAGTCCAGCACTGACACCCCAACAATGCCACCCTGTGCAGCCCTGGAGCTGGGACCATTCCCTGGGGGGCCTGGGCACCCTCAGGGTGAAGAACCTTCCCTGATCCCCAACCTGAACTCCCCAGGAACAGCCCCAGCCTCAGGTTCTGCCCCTGCTCCCACAGAGCAGAGGCTGCTGCAGACCCTGCTGAGTCTCCCCTCATGTTTGTAGCTCACACCCCAAAGCCCACACACCTCCATAAAGCCCCAAATTTCCAGTCTGGAGGACACTACATCCATCCCTGCTGGAATGCAAAGCCCCTCCAGCACAAAGCACCAGCCTGGCTTTGGGGCAGGTCAGTCTGTCCAGCACAAGAACGAGATCCTGACAGGTGCAACAGCCCTGAAGCAGCAGAATTCCCCACAGGGATCACCTCAGGAGCACAAAGGGGGACAATGAATCCTCAGAAGCTGCAGCTGGATAAGAAGTTTTAACCAAGTGCTCTGCCTCGCTACTTCCTGTGGGAATTTTCATTGCTAATTTCTTGTTTTCATTGCCAATTTCTCGTTTGCATCGCAAATTTCTCATTTGTTGCCATAAACATCCCTTGCTGCTGGAGCAAATCAACTCAGGATTAGTAAAAAAAGCATGTACAGGTATTTTATAAACCAACAAAAGCGTGAACTCTTTGCCACATAAATAATTTGGGCTTTGATTAATAGCTCTGATCAACACCTCAGCACAGCCCCCATTAGCTGCAGGACAAAAGGATCAAGGTCAGCACTTTCTCCATCCAAACCAGCCCCAAGAATTAATTAATTATAACAAATAACACTCACAAGGCCCCTCCCCACCCATGCCAACACACCTGCAAGGCTCAGAGCTCCCTTAGGTATTTTCTCTGAAAATCCCTGCCCAGAAAAGCAGCTGAATTCAAACTTCCCATCCACACCTGCCTCTCACAACAGCTTTAAACCAGAGCTTCCTTCTGAGAGCTGGAGCAGCTGAGTTTGTTCTGTGCTCTCATCTCCCCTCTGAGAGCTTTTTGGGGAGGAGAATAAAGAAAATTTCCCTCTCTGATTAACCCCCAGTTGGTTCCCAATCTGATTGCAGCCCCAAAGGATCCCAGCCTGTGACTGGGAACAAACTCTGTGCCAGCCCAATGCTCAGGAGAGAGCTGATATTCCATGGAATAACCTGGAGCCTGGCACTCACCTGCAGCTCAGGAAATCAGACCTGATCAGGTCCCTCACAAGGCACCAGACAAGGCCCAGGAGCAAATAAAAACACTTTCAGAGCAAAACCCACTCATTTAAACAGGCCTCATGCAAGGTGTGCTGGAATTGGATCATCTCTAAGGTCCCTTCCAACCCAAACCATTCCAATGTGATATTCCAGTCACTTACCCTGCCTCCTGTACTTTTAGGATTTACAAATTAAGAACATGCAGTAAATAAGCAGCTTACAAAGCAGTGCAAGCAGCATGGGACAAGTGGTTTGTGTTTCCAGTTTCAAACAAGCTGACCAGTCCTGATGGGCAAATACTGTGCCAAAACTTGCACAGCAAGAAACAGCCAATTATTTATTTTTTAAATTTGGTTTTTGCTACTTTGAGTTTTACCATGCCCAAGCCTGCAGCCTGATCATTTCAATGTCACCAGGGTACAGCTCTCAAGCAGAGCAATACTGAGTGCAGCTGGATCATCTCTAAGGTCCCTTCCAACCCAAGCCTTGCTATGATTCTAAAAGCAGGTCAGAAGAACCAGACCAGAGTCAGGTTTTTGGTTTGGGAATGCTTAAAACCGGGATTTTTCTGCCTGGAACAGAGCAGAGCACAGCAGAGGGGAGCTCAGGAGGGCAGCCCTGCCCTGAAGGGGACACGGAGGGCAAGGGGAGGCTCCTGGTGCCACCTTTGTCCCATCACCTTCCCCCTCCTCACCACAAGCCCCTCGGGTTGGCCCTGATGAGTCACCAGAACAAAAACCCCAGTGAGGTCACAGAATCACAGAACAGACCCTCAAGGATCATCGAGACCAATTCCTGGCCCTGCACAGAACTCTTCACCAATCCCACCCTGTCCCTGGGAGTGCTCCTGGAGCTCTGGCAGCCTCGAGGTCGGGACCATTCTCTGGGGAGCCTGAGCAGTGCCCCAGCACCCTCTGGGGGAAAAAAACCTTTCCCTGAGAGCCACCCTAAACCTCCCCGGCCACAGCTCCAGCCGTTCCCTCGGCTTCTGTCACTGGTGCCAGAGAGCAGAGCTCGGAGCTGCCCCTCTGCTTCCCCTCACGAGGAAGTTTTAAACTGCGATGAGATCTCCACGCTGAACACACCAAGCAACCTCAGCCGCTCCTAAGGCTTCCCCTCAAGGCGTTTCACCACGTTCGCTGCCCTCCTTTGCACGCTAGCACCTCAGTATCCTTCTTATACTGTGGCGCCTAAACTGCGCGCAGGACTCAAGGTGAGGCCGCACCAGCAGAGCGGGACGATCCTCTCCTTTTACCA